AGTGGCAGAATTATACATAGAATATAATTTATTTACGACACTATTTATGGACATTCTACCTATTTTTCATGTAGCTATGTATGTGAAAGCAAATAAAATGACTAGAACAATACACATATAACTTTAGTTATATGTACCTAGTAGAGTGCCTAGTGCAGGATAAGTGCTCAATAATTTCCACAGGTTTTTCTCTGCCCACCTCCCACCACTGTTATTTTAGAATTGCCTTTAACTCTACAAAGATGATTCCTTCTGCGCACAAGTTCGCTGGTACTGTGAACTTTTGGAAAGCTTGCGTACAACTTCTACCAGACAAGAGGTTACTTCTAAAATCCTTCATTGAGCCCTTTTGACCGCTTCTTCCTTGCTTCACCCCATTCCTCCGTTTAAGCCTAAAAAAAAAAAAAAAAAAAAAAAAAAGGGCCTGCCGAATGGCGCGATGGTTAAGAACTCGCTTGGGATGCCAGAGGGCCCCGGTTCGGATCCCGCATATGAGGGCCAGTGAACACTGCCCTCCACAGCTAAGATGCTGAACAACAGCTCAACCTGGAGCTGGGCTGCCGGGAGTCGCTGGCGACGGCGTAGGCTGCAGTCCCTGTGTCAGTGGGTTGCCATGGGCTACCATGTGTGGCCAGCAGCCAGCGTGAGCGGCCAGCAGCCGCAGTGAGCGGCCGTCCAGAAGCCGGCGACTGATCTGCCTCTCCAGGGAAGAGCGCAATGATGGTGCCAACTTGGGCAAGTGAAGCGACGTCCTCCACAACTAGATTGAAGAACAAAACGACAGCAACTTGTCTGTTCCCCTTCCCCAATCCCCCAGCACTGTTCCCATCCCCCCAATTCCCCAATAAAAATCTTTAAAAAAAAAAAAAAGCCTCCCCTTTGCACATGGCCCACTCCAAACTCTTGGCGATGTAATTTCTCTTCTAGTAATGGACCCTTGAGTCATTCTCTACTGCTTGGGCCTACTTCTATTTCTTTGAAATATACTATACCTCTTCTAATAAACGACTTTTTCCCTACTTTGAAAAAATAAATAACGTCCCTCATTGAGAACTAGAGCTGGATTTTCTGGGATTTGGTTATAACTGCTTTACTGGGTTGCTTGGGAGGTATTCTTTTTTAACTAGTATGTTTTCATGCCACACGGCAACCTGACAGTGTAAATAAGATGCATTTCAACAGCTGGGCCATAAATTAATGTTACCTTCATTCTCTGGGTAGTTAACTTTCTGTTCTCTACCTCAAATTATGTCTCTTTGTCCTGGCTTATCAACTTCCTTGTGCTTCTTCAAAGTAGGTAATAGCCAAGGTTATGTGTTAATATCTTGTCTCACAAGTGTTTAGTTTCATGATTAGAAGAATGGTTATGCTGTGAGTTTAGGAGGGGGATTCATCTCAAGGAAGATGATGCATTAGATTGTCGTCTCATTGCTATAACATCTATCTGCACAAAAATAATCTTCAGTGCCTCTTGAAGTTGTAATCGAATTCTGTGTTTGTCTCTATTGACCAAGAAAATTGAATTCTTTTATCCCTTCGAGTATCTTTAAGCTTGCAAGAATGTCACAGGGCCACATGTTTGTCAAGTATATCTTGCACAACAGTATGTGTTGTCACTTATATGAATGCTTGGGCATTTTTTAAAATGAAGTTTAGGAGTGGAAACTTTTCTATCCTTTTTTTTTTTCCAACAAGATTGAATTAAGTTAATTTCATTTTTCTATGTACTTTTTGTTTCAAGCAATTCTTTTGAGCTATTGTGTTTAAAGAGGTTACACTAACTTTTGAGCAGTTATGTTTAAGAGGTTACACTAAAATGGCTTACTGTTTTTGTTTTTGATATGTTTAGAGAATTTTTTCTTAGTGGTTTTGGATTACCCTAGATGATGTGTCTTGAACTGTTTAATGATCTTCTTAATGTTTAGTTTGTATTTGGCATACAGCACACTGTCTTTGGTTTTCTGTTCTTTTTGTTGGGTATATTTCTGATGTTTGAAAAGTTGCTTTGGCCTTCTGCACACAATAAGCTATGCTATTTTATACATGAATAACCGAATATCAGTGTCGCAATGTAGAATAAAAAGTTCACATCTTTCTGAATCAGAGATGGCCTTACATATGGGCACAGTCAGTAATTTTACAGTGTTATTTCAGGAGTGCTGAGATAGCACAGATGAAAAAGATTTTTGAGGGCACTGGGCATCTATGAAAGTAAAAGAAAACAAAAGAGATGAGGATTTATCAAGACTAGCTTCATAGAATTCAGGATCTTGCCAGCAAGTGTTCTATTTACTTATGCAGAGGATTTGGACAATATTTCACGTGTGTTTTGATTTGAGATGGTAGCATCACTGTATTAAATCCAAAATCCTTTATAGTATAGACAAGTTGAATTCATTATTGTTTTCTACAAAAACACAGTTTGTTTATTTATTTATTTTTATTTTTTATTTTTTTTAAGCTGAGCCATCCTGCCACCTGTTGGCAGCTCAGCGGCAGCTCAGCTTGGGTCAGGACTCCAACTGCTGTTGCTCAGAGCTTGCACTCGAACAAGCTCTTAACCAACTGAGCCACTCTGCTGGCCCTTTACAAAAACACAGTTAAAAAAAATAGTAAAGTAAGAAACGGAATACATGTCTTTTTCCATGTAGAAATTACTTACTTGATAAAGTAGATCTTCTTAGTGAAGGATCTTGAAAAGAGATAATACACGAAGTCTTTCCTTTTAGGGACTCAAATGTTAAAAAACAATAATGAATGGTTTTAAGAAAGAGGCACTTTACCATTTCACGAGAGAACATTCCAGATTCCCTTAGGGTGACAGCCATATATACATTGAAATTAGTATTTGTAGTTTTCTTAGTTTCTGAATTATACTATTAATATAAGCATGGACTACTTGATCAGAGCCATGTGAGAATCTGAGAGATTGGGCTTAGAAAATGTAGGTGACCTTAGATGACAACCTTGGGAAAGTGCTAATTTTGAGAGAATAGGAGGTACCTTGCAAGGAGAGGAGGAGGTTGTTCCTTGGAGGCTTGGTAGTGAAGGGAAAGAAAGAAGCAGCTGAATATAGAGTCCAAAGGAAATAAGATAAATGGGGAAAAAGGAGACAAGTTCTACTACCACAAAAAGTACCATTTAATTGAAGAAACTACACTCCAGTGTAGCCACAGAGGAGGGTGCTCTTGAACTGAGAAACCTAATAAGCCAAATTTTTTCCCTTCTTCCTCCCATCACAAGATAACTTGCTATTGCTGATCCTGGGGAAAAAAAAAATATATATATATATATATATGTGTGTGTGTGTGTGTGTGTGTGTGTGTGTGTGTGTGTGTGTGTGTGTATATAAAATCTTCAACAGAAAAAGAAGGAAGTATCCATACAAAGTTATGAAAGAGAGAATGAAAGGAAAAAGAAAAAGAAAAACCACAAAACAGGAAAACTGAAACACAACACTCAAATATGAATAACCTATATTAAACAAGCAATTACATTATTGAAACAACACCATAAATCAGACATTCTAAACAATTGAAATGAACAAACTAACAGGAAGATGAATGAAACAGGAGCTGATGAATTCTAGAAAGAAATTGCTGGAAAAAGGCAAAAATCATTCGGAAGTGAAAAGTAAGTTACAAGCTACCCAAAGGAAGATAAGATATTACCAAAAGTGCAGTAAAAGAAAAAGAATAGAAAGGAAACGGGTCAATAAAATGAAACAGAAAGAGATAAAAGGATCAGAGAGAAAGTGATAGAGAAAATCCAATATATTTAATTCAAGAACTTGAACTAGAAAAACAAATGGAACATGAACAGAAATAATATTTCAAATTATAATAAGAAAACTTTTCAGAAATAAAAGGAGGCCTGAATTTCCATACTTCCTTGATAGCGTCCTTTGAAGCACAAAACCTTTGAATGTTGATATTATTCAATATATCTGTTTTCCTTCTGTCCTACAGACTTAGACTAGTCTTGTTTATTTGTCAAGATAATTCAAGATTTTGAATGAAAAATTTAATTTTTAAGTTAATAAGTTAATGTGTAATTTACAGAGAAAAAAGATAAAGAAGTTTGAATATGTTTAGGTCTTTTTTTTTAATACCATGTTTATTTGCTATTTTGAAAAGGATTAATCATTTTTTTAAACCTTTTTTTCTGATTCTCTTCATTTGGGGAGATTTTATTTTTATTCCTATTCTGCATTTTACTATTTTACACTGTAATAGGAATGTATTATGTCAACTGTGCATCTCATTGTAAATGTAGATATTAAAGAATGTCTTTTCCATATAAAATATTTTCTGAGAGAATTATTGCTATGTTCATTTTATTCATATATTCATTCAGCAAACATTTATTGAGTTATTATTATATGGTAAACATTGGATATTACAAAGAATAAGACATGGTTTTTGTCTTCATGGAGGTAAAAAATGTGCCTAGATGGGTCTAAATAAATTGTTGTATTTGAAAGAAGAGTATACAAGGAATTGGTGGGTGGGCCAAACAGAAAACAGAATGGAGCAAATCAGAGTCATGGAGCTGCGGGGCCCATTGGCCCAAGACTCGTAGTAGTCAGATATGGCTGAACAGCCTGATGCATAGAGAAGGAATTGCTAGAGACGAAGCTTGAATGTGGTTGGAGCACAGGTTTTGAAGACCTTTAAATACTATGATAAATAGCAGATCCTATGAACAGGGTATTCTTCAGCATTTTTAAGTCTTAGAGTGAAAGACAGGACCTAAGAATAGTAGGTGATGTTAGCTAATCTTATTCATAGTAATTAAATGCAGTCTGAATGCGTTTATAGTCACGCCATTTAAAAAGGATCATTAGGTGGTTTTTCATAGATTATTGATAAATACTGATTATTTCAAAAACATTAAATAAATATTTTAATGTATTTCATATTTGGCCTATTTAAATATTTGCCATACTTAAAAATAGTATTGACCTTAGCTTTGTATTTTTTTAATTCCTTTTTTTCCAGCTATAAGGAAGACCGGATGGATGGGGGTCTAATGGAACCACTGAAATACGCTGAACAACTTCCTGTAGCTCAGATAATACACCAGGTTTGCTTTCTATTTTACTCTTTTGAAAGAAACAAAATTTTTAATCTCCGTAAAGTAATTGCTTGTGTTAGATTTTTCAGAATCAACGTGCTGTAGCTGAAAGGCATTCTAGGTCGTCCATCCCCGCTTATACTCCACCACCTATTACAGTTGGAAGTCTCATTCAAAGCACAACATTAAAAGGCTATTGCTGTTACTTACTCATATATAAAATACAGGGTAAAATCAGAATTATCTTCTGTGTCTTAACAACAAGACTTAATTTCAGAAAACTTTCATTTGAACCATTGTATATAGTATTTGTTTGTGACAAGAAAAAAGAGCTGGAAAAATATCATTTGGTATAATTTTTTTAGTAGCTAAAATGAGAAAACATCCTTTCCCTACTTCCACCCCACCCCATTATCAACTCTTGTAAAGTGTTAATTCTAAATGTCATGTAGGCAATTTTTTCATTTCCAGTTATAATGACTCTATCATCCGATATTCTACATAACTATAATCTTAGAGAAGGCAGTGTAGTAAGTATATAAACTTAGATTTTATACTGTGATTTTGACAGCATATAAAGTCTGCCCTGCTAGGCCAGAATCTTAGAATTTTAAGTGGTGTGTTGACAAGAGTTACAGCCTTCAAATCTACCAGATTTTTCAGAATCTGTAGATTATGGGAAATATTTGAATTCTTAAAGGTCGAATTTCTCAAAATTTTAATGAAGTATAGTTATTATTAATCTTTCAATATGTCTTTGTCCATCAAAAGAATTTTTATTTAGCTGATACAGGTTGATTAGAATAAGTGCCAGTTTGCGCTTATTAGAAGAAACAGGCTTTTACTTGAAAATGTTGGCTCCACAGATCTTTACATTGACATTAAATTTTACTATGAAAATTCTATGAGAAGTTACAAATAATGGTCAGAAATTTGCCTCTTTTGGAAGCTTATCTATGCTTGGTAATCAGGTCCAGTGTATATGTCAGGAATTCCCTAGTGTTGACAGAGCCTAAATGACCTAACAGCCTGCAAATGTCACATTTAAAATTCTGTGTTCATGCCTCAGTCCCAGCATAAATGAGTTAAACAGCAGAGCAGGCAGCAAGTCAATATGTTCTTAACAGTAAGAGTGAGCAGTGAAACAGTTTGTGGTTTGTTCAGCATAGGTAAATAGAATCTGCCCAGAATGGCTCACCTAGAATAAAATCTGCAACAGGAAACCAGAATTAACCTTTAAGATGGTTGACCAGAGGAAATGTCAGTCATATTTTTATAGCAGGAATGAGCCAAAAAACTACAGTTTATGTAACAGCTGCATTTTGCTGTAATACACTATCTGAATTCAAAGATGAATATTTTTTACCTTGCTGAAAATTTTTAGTATGATATTTTGGGCAGTATTAAAAGCTGTATTAATTTAAACACTGAATTATGACCATTATAATTAGCATTCTGTAGTACCTGGATGTATAAAATTTCAATTTTTAAGAAATTTGCATGATAGGGATTTATTTATTTTTTATTGAATAACATTAATTCTGTTCTCAGAGGTTGATCAGAAAAGGTCGTTGTTAAAGCAGACTCTTATCTGTTCCTCTCGTTACTTCCTTTACTGACAGTACTACAACTCTGGGACTGGACCATTGTCTGCAAAGTGGTCTTTAAGAAGCATGAGCAGTGCTGCGAAAAGTTCACTTATAAGTAGATTATTTGAAAGCAGTATTTTTCCTTAAAAGAATAGTAATACATGTGATAATTAGGTTCAGCCGATCCCACAAAAGCTTTTTAATCTGTAATATACCTAAATAACAGTATTATTGTGGTACATATCTAACCTCCACGTATAACTATTTTTATACTGTAAGTAACTATTTTTCCTCTAACCTTGAATCATGTTTTATCTATGCCTATTTTGGAGCATTATCATTTCTACTCGAAATAGTGTTATTTATACACAGTTTCTATCTCCCATTTGATTGTGTTCCTGGATATTCTTGATTTCTTGATATTCCTTTCAGCATCTTGACTTACGCCATAGATGCATATATCTGAATGGCTGGGTATGTATTTTTAGTGGTACAGAGAGCCAAGAGTACCTCTTTTCCCTACTACCTAGATGTCAGAAGCCCATGCCTCTCATCACAGGTAGCACAGTTTAGAAGCTCCAGGAGAGGAGGAACAGGACCAGGGGCTGCTTGAGAAACAAGAGAGAAATGGCCCTTAGTCATTTGAGTAATTAATTTCTTATGTATGTTACTCAAACTGCATTTTATAATCAGGAGCTAGGCCAGATTCTCAGTATTGCCATTTCATACTGCCAAATTATTTACCATTTTTTAGGGGTCCTAACAAATATGATTGTACATCTAGGAAACCCAAGAGACTCAAGTTACAAATAATAGAATTAATAAATTCTATTATTTATTAATAATAATAGAATAATTCTAGAATTATCTCTGGTGAGATAGCCAGATATAAGATAAGTAAAAGTGATAGTTTGTCTATATTTGCAATAAGCACACAAAATGGAAATGGGAACGTTTTTCTTTCAAACAGTGAAAAGAACTATAAAATACTTAGGAGTAAATTTAACTGATAAACCATAGGGCCTGTATTATAAGAATCATGGAAACATACCATGTTTCATAAACAGAAAGACATACCAAATATTTAATGGGCCAGGAACTTAATATAAAAATATACTTTTTCCTAAACTAGCAGTTCTAATTGGAATGGAAACAGGTTTTTTTAAAAATAATAATAATAGGGGAGGGCCAGCCAAGTGGCGCGTTGGTTAAGAGCTGGCTTGGGACGCCAGCTCTGAGCAGCAGGGCCCCCATTCTAATCCCACATATGAGGGCCAGTGACACTGCCCTCTGCAGCTAAGATGCTGAACAACAGCTCAACCTGGAGCTGGGCTGCCCGTGAGTCGCCAGTGATGGCTAGGCTGCAGCCCCTGCTACAGTGGGTTGCCATGGGCTACCGTGTGTAGCCAGCAGCCAGCATGAGCGGCCAGCAGCCTCAGAAGCCAGAGACTGATCTGCCTCGCCCGGGAAGAGCGCAATGATGGTGCCAACTTGGGCCAGTGAAGCAACGTCCTCCACAACTAGACTGAAGAACAAAAGGACAGCAACTTGTCTGTTCCCCTTCCCCCAATTCCCCAGTGCTGTTCCCATTCCCCAATTCCCCAATAAAAATCTTTAAAAAAAAAATAGAGGAAAATGACCACATATCCAAATATCCAATAATAGCCAAAGAAAATATGTAAAAGAGAGATACACTTGCCTAACCAGATATCAGAACACAGCCGCTATAATTAGTAAGTATTCTATTTAGTAAAGATAAACAAAGGAATAGACCAGTAAGTAGATTAATGGATCACAATGGAAGAGTAGATTTCCAGTTTTATTTACTGTAATTCAAAATAAGAAATACATTTTATATACATAATGATGCATGATGTATGTGTGTGGAAAATAAAAATAAAAGTTTCACGATATATTTTTCCTCATTACATATATACACTGTTCTGTTCTTTTTCTACTTTATATTTAAAAAAAAACAGCCTGCTACATTGATTTCAAAAGCAACAAATAGTTCTGACCTGTGGCTTGCAAGACACTAGAATAGAGAATCCAGAGAAAAAAGTACTATATTTGATCAAATATGATCAATTATTATACTTGATTAAATTTGATTAAAATATGATTAAGAAGATATTTCAGTAGGAAAAGGGTTGAACTCCCATGTCATACTATATATGAAATAAATTTTTTTATAGATTAAAGATTTAAATAAAATAAGTGAATAAAAATTTTAGAAGAAAATTTAGGCAACTGTATTTATAGTTTGGAAGTAGGGAGGAACATCTTAAAATTTAGACAACTTCATTTATAATTTGGAGTAGGGAAGAACTTAATGAGCACAAAAATCAAGAATATATGTTTAGGGCCGGCTCAGTGGCACGTTGGTTAGGAGTTGTCTTGGGATGCCAGCTCTGAGCAGCAGGGCCCCGGTTCGGATCCCCATGCGGGCCAGTGACAGTGCCCTCTATAGCTAAGATGGTGAACAGCTCAACCTGGAGTTAGGCTGTCGTGAGTTGCCAGCGACGGTGTAGGCTGCAGTGGGGCTGGCCGGCAGCTGGCGTGAGCTGCTGTCCAATGGCCAGTGAGCGACTGCCTCACCTGGGAAGAGCACAATTATAATACCAACATGGGCCAGTGAAGCAACCTCCTCCACAACTAGACTGAAGAACAAAAGGACAGCAACTTGTCTGTTTCCCTTCCCCGATTCCCCAACGCTATTCCTCTCCCCCAATTCCCCAATAAAATCTTAAAAAAAAAATGTTTAGCTCCATAAAAATGGAATGTTTTATATCACACAAGATACAACAATAAAAGACTAATGTTAGAATCAAGATTAAATGTTTACAAAGAAAACAACAGTAAATTGGTTAATATCTAAAATATGCAGAGAACTCTTAGAAGTTTATAAAAAGTTCATAAAAAAACAACTTAGTAGAAAAAAAGACAAAAGATATGAAAAGCATTTCAGAAAAAAACAAATGTGAATAGTCAATAAATGAAAGAAAAGAGCCTCAAACTCAGTAAGGAAGTGCACATTACAAATTTAGTGAGATTATTTTATACCCATCAAACTGGCAAAAATTAAAACCACACTTTGGAAAACAGTTTGGCAGTTCCTCAAAAGGTTAAACAGATAGAATCCATATGACCCAATGATTGTATCTTAGGTTATAAAATCTTGCATCCACACAAAAACCTGTACATGAATGATCATATCAGCATTATTCATAGGAACCAATAATTGAAAACAACCCAAATGTGCATCAACTGATGAATGGATAAATACAATGCAGTATATCCATCCAGGGGACTATTATTTGGTGACAAAAGGGAATGAAGCACTGATACTTGCAACAACATGGATGACCTTGAAAACGGTACGTTAAAAGAAGCCAGTCAAAAAAGACCACATTTATATGA